TACTGAACCTTTTGCAGATGTGGCGCTAGAAATATTGTCATTGGCTTTTGCTTTTGCTCTGTTTTGCTTTCCCATTGTGATGCTTTCAGGGAAATATTTAAAAGTGTGCTTCAGATTTCTGAAACTTCATGGAACATCCACACGGTGATCTGTACTCTGATACAGATTTTCTGCTTTTAATGTGTTGTAGTGACTTGTACCTTGTTCGGAACATGAAAGCCACGTTCTAAACCTTTTCTTGAAGATGTCTGTACAGGGGAGTAATTAAGTGAATGGTGAAACAGAAATAAATTTAAATAGAGTTTGAAAACATTACAGTACAAACAGACACACCCAGGGTACAAAGAAGTAATTCTGTACAACCTAAATTCGGTCTGTTTGAGAGAAATGCAATACTCTTTGTGGCGGGCATACTATTTTCTTTATTTAAAGCTGCTTCTTCATCTACAGTCATGTAAAATGTCGGGTCCATTCTATCTCCTGCTCCATGCTGCTCCTACCTACTGCATGAGAACAAATAATGACTGCTAAGGCTCCATGCCAGGCTGGCAAATTACTGAGACAAGGTCAGTTGGAACAAATTTATAAAGTTCAGTGTCAAAGCCCTTGTACAATTAAATTTTCAATATAATAACTGACATGGCAGGCAGCAGAGACAGAGCTTCCAAAATAACTCAAGGGTCTGTCAACAAATGGGTGAGGCTGGAAATGTTTAGAAATACTCATGCCGTACCTCCCCCATTCCCCAGGCAACAACCATGCTACGCCTGTGTTTTCAAATAAGGTATAATTTGAATGAGTAGATGAGGTTTCTTTGTGTTCAGTCAGAAATAAATTTCTTCCCTGGGTGATGCTGGTATGTAAACTAAGAAGTTACAGTTGCCTTAGTTTGACAGTTACACTGATTAAAGAATGGAGGCTTTATTCAACCTAAATGTGTTACTGTATTACAGTTAACATCTTCTTCAATAGGAAGTTTGCCTGTGCAGTTCTGACATCCCCATTGACTTCACAGGAGTTACTCACAGGATGCCTGGCTGTGTGGCAAAGCCAACAGTCAGTCATTTGTATGTGATCCTGTGGCTGAAATGCCAATACTTCTGCTGTCGTCAGTGAGACCAGGGTTTTTACCTTACCAATATTCCATAGCAAATCAAGGAAGTGATTTTGTTTATAGCTGAAGTTTCCAAATATAAACCCACCACTGGCTATGTAAACAAAACACACAACATAGAAAGAAAAACAGGACTGCTGTAATATAAATGAGATTCTAGGTAGTTGGATTATTGTTTAAATAAACTTTGGAAGAAATCAAGAAGCTACGATGATTTGTGCTGCAAGTCTTATAACTGGATTATGTATCCTGCAAGTGCTCGTAAGAAGTACTGCCTCAAGTGCTCTTTTGTTATCTAATCTTTTTAAAATTTCCAAGTACCGTTTTCCCTCTTGCAGATATTAAAAGGTTTCAGCACTGGTTATGTTTCCCGTCATACTGTAGGTAATGCACACTGATGTATAAAGCATTGATCAAAATCGTTTTCAGCCAATTGTTTCACATGTGTTGATCAAAGTTTTGGCACTTCCAGAACTAAACCCATTAACTCACAAACATGACCCTATTTATAATTGAAAATATATAGATAACATGTGGTAAGTTTGAAAGCTGCTATTATATTCCAGAGAGAGCCAATTTAGGGAAACAGAAACGCTTGATCTCTTCTGATAGGCAGCATGTAAATAAAGCAGCCAGTATGAAATTCACCATGAGCTCACTTAAAATGTCCAAACCTTTCAAAGTAAATGCTTGAGCTATGTGGACTATATCCCATTGGTGTTTCCTGTGACATATTGTGAATGCTACAACCATGTGCATAAATTATGAAAAGATATTATACATACAGAATTTTAAACAGGACTCATCTATTGGTACTCTGGAACGAGTGAGGGTAGATATTTGAAAAATGTTTGATTTGCATTTTTTTATCAGTTCAGTGTGACTGGATACTTAGTTTTAAGCCACTGGTAGGTTTCTAAGGGAATATATTTTTTTTTCCTCTGTCTGAGTCTTCTCTCAAGAGCAAGCCCAGCTACAACCTGGATGTATCTTGTGATCAAGAAATTCCTTAACGTCTTCTTGGTGTGTCTTGCTCATTCATTCAGAGTTAAATCAAACGCTAGATATGGGATCAGGAAGGAGATTTCTCCTGGGTCATTCTCCCCTCTGAAATAAACAGCTATTACATGGATTGCCTCTTCTTCCAATGGATCAGGGTCTGAATACAAAAAAGGGACCGGAGAAGAGCAAAGCCACAAAGACAGATAAAGAAGTCAAGGACAAAATATTTCTTCTGACATTTAAGTTTAAAATAGGACAGGTAAAACCAAATGAAAAGGGGCTATATGTAACAGGCAGGGGAGGCAGAGAAGTGAAAGCACATGGCAGATTAAAGAAGGGGTGTGCTCCTCCCTCTCCTACCACCTTGCTCCTCTCCTGACCTGGTTCTGTTATGCAGAGAGCCGTAGACAAGCCTCTCCACAAAGTACAGAGCAATGATGGACAGAGGCTGGGGACAGGGCCTGTCTGGGGAGGGTATAACGGGCACGAGGGAGTCACCTGCAGCCCCATCATCTTTGCTAGCATGTGGTGACATGGACCCTCTCAAGGGTTTGTTCACAGGACTTGGGCTAGACCCCCATTTAAGCAATGGCAAGTGAAATCAAAACTGGCTCTGAAAAGTGGATGTAATGAAAATATAGCTGGCTATTGTGAGCCATGTTTTTCAAACATGGCCCTTTTCGCAGAATATCCCCTTCAGTCCACAGGGGAAAATGCTAGGACTATTGTAAAAGCTTAATTACAACACACCAGCACAGCAGTTCCCACAGCTCACTTTCAGCTCTGCCCTTGTATGGGCTTCTACAGGATTGATAGAGAGAACCCTGTGTGGCAACAGCAAGACCAAAAAAGAAAAGTCATAAGTCACAGTTTAGAAGCATTTGTTTCTGTCCCACTGCTCAGTTTTACATGGGGAGGTCTCTGCAGCTCTGGGAGTTTCAATCCTTAGCGTTTCTCTTCACAGCCAAACATGCTGCTCAGGTGTTTTCGGTAAACCTGCATTCAAGATGGTGGGCCAGGATGCTAGCCCATTGCATAAGCACCAACAACCAGCTGCACTGCTGTTTTTATACAAAGATTGGCTCTGATACTGGGTACCCTCAATCTCCACAGGTGGGAAAAAGCGGGAGCCAACAAGAGCTGTTTGGTTATCCTAGGAATCTGGCTGCAGACTCAGATCAAGAGTCCACAGCTAGACCGACACATTTGGCGTGGCTGGGAACGCTCCCAGGTCCTGCAGCTGACTGATTTGGAGTGGCCCGTGCTACGCTATTGACCTCTCCTAGCCTCCCAAACGAGGTGGCTGTAGGTAGAGAGCCTACTGGGGATGGTCCCAGGGGTGTGTGAACTGCCAGATGGCCCCGGAGAACAGTTCAGGCAAATGTTAGTTGGCACGAGTCAAAAGAGTGCCAAGGACTCTGTTAACAGTGCAGCAGGACAGATGGTCATGGCCAGTGCCTGGGAGCACTCTGAAGCACTGTCTGCTTTGCTAGGCTGGCTATAGCAACAGTCTGTGGCTGTATGGTGCCCAGGAGCATCTCCTCAGAAATCTAATGTGAGGCCCCACACTGCTAACCACTCCAACAGCGGCTTCTTGTCTTCCTCCCACATACGGTGTACGACTCCGTGGGCTTCAGGCATGCCGGATGATTTTTGGCTAGCAGTTCTGAGGTTGAGAAATTTGTCTGTCCCTTACAAATACGATAAAAAAACCCCGCTTTTGAGATTGCTCAGAAGACGGAAGAGAGTCAGATGCCTAGAGGCTGCTACTGGATGAAAGAAAACATCACCCAGTGGGCTGGAATTGCTGATCTAATTCAGCCTATTTGATCCCTGCTTTGAAAGCAACTGGCTTTACAGCTGGTTGAGTTAGGGACTGCACCCAAATAAAACAGTACCACATGCATTTTAGGGAACCTTGCACCTCTCTCTTCCTCCCAGCTGCTTACCAAGCTAGAAAAGTATCTGTGACTGAGAGGGGTGGTCTGATATTGTACTAGTGCTCCATGTTTCAGTCACTCTTCTGTTATCTAGTGCGCCCCAGGGCTCTAGTAGCTTGGATGGTTAAGACGTGCAATAAGATGAGGAGACTGCAATGGCGAGTTTTGAGACATCTTTGCGTATGT